TTGTTGAGTACGTATTTCATTACAAAAATTGGTACCCGCCTGATATTCGAACACCGGTGCATCGCTCAACACGATTGCACCGGACGTCCGTTAGGCCACGACGACTTTAAAAATATAAAATAAAAAGTAAATAAAAAATATAAAAATTTCGGCGTTAATTTTTCGCGGCGAAAACAACTAAACTCATTTAATCACTGTACTATTCGCCGCGACTACCGCTCGACTCCGTGGCTCGCGCCGTCCGTATTCATGCATTTGTTTTGCTCGCCCGCCGCATCGCGCGATTCGCTCGGTACATTCCGCCGGTCGCTTCGCCGGTCGCCGGTGCGCGTGGCTTGTTAGGTACATTTCTATGCGCTTGTTTTAGTCGCTAGACGCTTCGCCGTTCGCACCGCGCGAATATTCGTATCGGCGAATGTCCCGTGGCCAGGCTGTTAAGGTTGGCTCACTATAACGTTTTTTATGCTGACCAAATTTGTTCTAAAATAAAGCATTATTTGTGAACTATTCCACGCGGACGAAGTCGCGGGCAAAAGCTAGTTTAGGAAATAAAAAAATTTGTAACATAAAATTTATGCTGCATATAGTCAGACGGAGAAGCTAGCATAATAGCCTTATGCGACGCCGAAGATTACTTTAAATTATCGACCTCCTTATTAAGATCTACGGTCACATTGGAATCGTGATTTGAAGGCGCCCACCTTGGCGACCCCGGAAGCGACGACCCCGACCCCGACCTCGGACACCAGTTTGACGGATATGCGAGCCTTGGGGTTGGCGCACTTGAGGTCGTAGATGAGCTCGGCGAGGTCCTCGATGGAGTAGATGTCGTGGTGCGGCGGCGGCGAGATCAGCCCCACGCCCGGCACCGAGCACCGCGTGCGCGCTATGTCCGCCGTCACCTTGTAGCCTGTATAACAGTCACATTTCCAGTTACTTGACTATGTACAGCAGGAATCACATTTTAATTAAACTTTTAATGTTCAATTACTACCTGTTCATAGATTTAAGAAAACTGTCCAGAAACGTTTGTGCCACATGGCTTATTATAAAATTAAGGATTATTTACTAGACGGCACTACGTGGGAATGAGGCGTTCGCTCCTGGCCTTTTCATTTTTTATTATTAATATTATTATTATTTTTTAATTGTATTTTTTGACTTGTTTTTTCGTTTATTGTAAATATTTTTAATTATTTAAAAATATATAAATATATATATTTGAGATAAAACAAAAAAATTGCCCGCTGAGATTGTTTCGCCGGTTCTTCTCAGAACTGGCTTTTTTTGGAACTGGTGGTAGAGTTAACATTGTTATTTATATTTTGACTTTCAACAAGTGTGTTATACTGACATCTAAGTTGAAATAAATGATTTTGAATTTGAATTTGAATGGGCTCAGCGGGAATTAAATAATACGTAACTTTACACTGACTTGTATTTATTTCCACTTTTCACTCACGAAATAATTTACGGTGATCGTCTTTACACTCTCAACTCAACCAAACCGTTATTTAAAAAAAATATCTATTTCCAGGAATAATTAGATTAGTTTTACACATATGCGCGATTTAGCCAGATACTTTACATATTATTGAGATTTAATATAATACAATCGACAACTTCATGGGATATGCGTAGCAACTAAGTCTACACGACAGCAGAATTAATTATAATTTATGTAATATTATCGCAACTTGTATTATGTACTTATCAATACCGAACACCTTATTGCTATCGTTATAAGATTTAATATTCAACGGTTTGACGTTCAAAAGTTAGAACAGTGGCGATCCTGGTATTTTCAATTTTTTAAAAACTAATAAATCCTGCAAAACAGTTATCTAATTCATTTGTTTGTTGTATACAAACATACATACCGGGCAGTTCTCCACCTTCTCCGGGTTTGGCCCCCTGCGCCATTTTGATCTGCAGATCGTCCGCGTGCGCGAGGTACGAGGCCGTCACCCCGAACCGTCCCGACGCGACTTGTTTGATGGCCGAGCGCTTGCTGTAGTCGGGGTCCTGCACCATACATACAATATTAGAAAACAATCATGTCGGGTGCACGAGTAGGGCTGCGATACGCGAGGAATGGCGGCGTCTGGTGAAACGCACCACCACCTTGAGTGATGACCATAACCACTCTGCCAAGAGTGCATACGACTAAGAAGATTGTATGTCGGAGAAGTTCATTAATTTGGTAGCAAAACAAAGCGCAGCACGATTCCTGAGAGGTGACAACACGATCGAAACTCGGCTAAGTTCGTGCTACGGCAGAGCCTAGCCGACGGAGGCGTACATAGACGCGACTCATCAATCAGCTTTCTTTGGTGTTGCCGACTCTCGGGAATCGGAAATTACTACCAAACTAATGACCGTCTTCGACACGTATTTGTTTATGACTTTGGGTTGGGACAGTAGCGACGTGGTCGGGTCACTTGAGCCGAACCTGATGTAGATCTCACTGCAAGATTAAAGCAGCTATTCCAAATTGACGTTTATCCAGCAAAAAAACTTTGCTACTGGTGGTAAGACCTTTTGTGAGTCCGCACGGGTACCACCGCCCTACCTATTTCTGCCGTGAAGTAGTAATGTGTTTCAGTTTGAAGGATGGGGCAGCTGTTGTAACTATACTGAGATCTTAGAACTTATATCTCAAGGTGGGTGGCGCATTTACGTAGTAGATGTGTATGGGCTCAAGTAACCATTTAACATCAGATGGGCTGTGAGATCGTCCACACATCTAAGCAATAAAAAAAATCTGCGTTGCAAATCAACGTCAACTCTAGCTACACCGTTCGATCCCGATCATCCAAGATCACATTCTTTCAGCGGCCGATAATAACTATTGAGCCACCTCTAGCCAACAGCAAGGGTCTGAAGCGCGGGCTAGTTATAGTTTAATGTAGCTGACATTACGCCGTGATGTAGATGGACTTCGGTAAGCACTCCGGCCGAGCTAGTAGACTCACCTGGTTCAAATATCGGTCAGCGTTTTCCCCTCCTTCTCCGGTGTTGGATTTACCTCCGATGCGGTTCATGGCGATGGCGAGCGTCGTGTGAGCCTCCAGAGATATCGATCCGAATGACATCGCACCTGTTCGATTAATGTCATGTGCATTAGCTCCAACGTGTCGATATTGCCTCAGCACTAATAATCTATTTCACAAAATCAGTTTGTAGGTTTGTAGGAAAGGGAGTAAATACGAGAGAGCTAGTAGTGAGGTAAGCGAAATACAAAGGGTTAAATGACATTTATATAACACTAGTTAGTATACTACTATAAAGCTATTACTCGCGGCTTCGTGCTAGGAAAATTGTTTTAAAGTTACGTAATTTTTCTGAAGATAATAAAACAGTATCCCGTGGGAACGAGATGTATCGGAATAAAAGGTTGCCTACGTCACTCTCCTGACCTAGAATTATATATTTTTTTAAATCACATCAATCCCTTGCTTTGTTTCCACGTGAAAGAAGGACAAACAAATACATTTATAATATTAGTAGGGATAATAAAGTGCGAGACCTGTAGCGAAACGTTTAACGATTTCCGAGGCCGGCTCCACTTCGCTGATAGGGATGGGCTCGTCCAGCCGCACGAGCTCCAGCTGGCCCCGCAGCGTGCAGGCGCGGACCGACTCCAGCGTGCTCTCTCTGTGCGGGGACAGCCTGGTTGTTAGCGGGGTTGGGGGAGGGGGGGGCGGTACACACCCGCACACCGGGCACGCTCGCTTACTCTTTGGCGGGAACGAGCGGGGCAAAGTTCTGTGACTGGTTTTATGTTATTTACTCAGTGTTCCTTCAGGTTTAAATGAGTAATAAAATAACCATGGTTTATTAATTATTTAGCGTTTGCGAAAGTACACAAATGTGAAAGAACATGAAATGAAAGCCGTTAGATATCGCTTCTCGGATTCTTCCAAAAAATCAATTTAAAAAACTCTCAGTAAATAACCACCATTTTACTGAGACTATATTTCAGCCCATTCCCCATTTCAGTTAATTTAATTTCATCCACATTGATTTAAATCTCAAATCAATCAACTTTATCTAATTTCGTTTTATATCATTTTTCATATTAAAACGCGTAAAATGAAAATATAAGAATTGACTTAAAGGTCTCGGTACCAGGTAAAATTAAAAAAAAAAAAACTCGTTTCAATTACTATGGCTCACAATAATAGATCGACACAAGTATACGTTGCTACGGCGGCTAGTGCAACATTGAGGGTCATGGCACACTATGCAAGCACGGTATCAGCACCGCTCCAACCCAGTGATTTGAATTTGACCCTTAAATCGTATGTCGTAAAATATGTTTCATAACGTCAGTATAAAAAGCCAACAACAGCGGGGTGTCTGCGCCCTTGCTGCTACCTAACAACCGTTCGCAGTGGTCTTACAGATACAATGCCGTTACAGTGTGCCCTTAATCACCTGAACCGGTCGTAGGCAGACTTGCTGTTCCCGAGCGCGGCCTCCTGCAGGTTGGCGATGGACGTGGGGTCGTTGACGTGCTTCTCTCCGCCGGCGCGCCAGTGATAGTTGCCCGGGTTCCTGACCACGTTCATGAGACATCATTAGTTTAATGAACAAGTATTTCTTCATGATCTAACGTAAAATAAACCACGGGTTACTGTCTAAGGACATTGATGACATAGACAGTAATGACGGCAATTTATAGCGTCTCGCCTGTTAGAGAGAATATTGAAAATTTAACAGAATCTAACCTTCGTAATAGAACTCAATTGTTCCAGTTTTCATGTTGATTGAATGTATTGACGGTAACAAAAAACACTGATAAATTATCAAGATTTCCTTTTAGCTTCATCATCATCAGCTTGCGGCAGTCCACTGCTGGACATAGGCCTCCCCCAAAGCTCGCCACTGAACCCGATCTTCGGTTCTTCGCATCCAGTTACTGCCAGCTGCCTTGCGCAGGTCGTCGCTCCATCTAGCAGGAGGGCGTCCTACACTACGTTTGCCGGTTCGCGGTTTCCACTCCAGAACACGTCTAACCCAACGGTTATCGGTTCTGCGACATATATGACCTTTTAGCTTATGCTTTTTTGGTAAAAATCATTAAGAAAATGTAACGGCTAACCTCAAAACGAGACTATCTACGCAATCCCCGTAAGTCATGGCGTGTCGGTCCAACGTCTCATTCGACAGAATCTCAAAGTTCACGCCACCTGTAAAAAGGATTTTGATGAGTAAAAATTTAGGACCCAAAATATAAATATAAATAATGGTTTATTAATTTTTCTAGTACATCGTATACTTCGTATCTGAAAGTATCTGTTGAACGCAAAACTGCACCTAGCCCGGTGGTCCGTAAGCAGTATTTACCAAATCATTTTATAGGATGAGTTGATTTTTGTAAACAAATACAGAATTAGAATATGATATTTGTTTTACAAAGTAGACTTACCAATCCTAGATTGGGTTCCTTTAAAACATTTATCGATGACTTCCTCGCTCAAGCCGACGGCTTCGAATATCTGAGCGCTCTTGTAAGACTGGAGGGTGCTGATGCCCATCTTGGCCATGACCTTGGCGAGGCCGGTCTCAATGGCCTTCTGGTAGGCGGAGTAGATGTCGTCGTCGGTGAGGTTCGGGTCGAGGATGTTGTCGTTGCGGAGGGCGAACGCCAGCTCGAAGGCCAAGTACGGACAGATCGCGTCGGCGCCGTAGCCTGCGACACGAAACCGACTTAAGTAATATTTGTAACACCATTTTTTACAACTTCGTGGGTGGTGTTCTTATGTGTAGCTTCTGTTTAAGAGCAAGCTTTTGAAGAGAGAGAGAGATTTTGACAAGCGGACATTAGCTTTTAAGTTATTGAACAGAAAGTTTAGGTCGGCGTCGCCGAAACCGGCTTGGAACCATGATTCATGATGATTTGTAACCAATGTTATTTTAGTTACAAGGATTATCTATCGCTAATTTCGTGATTAATTAAAAAAATTCAATACTAGTATATCATAAATTATTCGTTCTAGACATTCAGCTACCACATCACATATTGGTATTATATTATAATGTGGCAATCGTTCTATATTTAGTATATAAGCTATGGTTGGCTCGTCGTCACACGCAATTATATTATAATTCCCTATGGTTACATAATTAGTATAATTCCAGTAGTTCATCTGGGTATATTTTCTGTCTTCACATTTAAGATAATTTTTATAGGTGCATTTTTCATTAGAAGCCAAATATATATCATTAATATTACTTTACCTAACAGAACGCACATGTGATGAACCTCTCTCGCTTCGGCCGTCTCGACAATGAGTCCAACTTTCATTCGCTGACGGGTTTCAATTAAATGATGATGTACAGCTCCTGTTACAAATAATATTGTTTAAGAATTCGTTTATATATTCATGTGTCCTTTTTAACTAATTGACATTATAGTACAAATTTCTACAATGGCCTATTTCTGCCGTGAAGCAGTAATGCGTTTTGGTTTAAAGGGTGGGGAAATTGTTGTAACTATACTGAGACCTTAGAACTTATATCTCAAGGTGGGTGGCGCGTTTACGTAGATGTCTATGGGCTCCAGTAACCACATAACACCAGGTGGGCTGTGAGCTCGTCCACCCATCTAAGCAATAAAAAAAGTCTGCAAAATCAATTATATTTTATGGATGTGGAAACATCAACTATAGTACACATAAGTGAGAGAGAGAGAGAGAGTAAGAGAGAGAGTGAGAGAGAGAGAGTAAGAGAGAGAGAGTAAGAGAGAAAGAGAGAGAGAGAGTTAGAAAGAGAGAGTGAGAGAGAGAGGGGGAGGGTGCGTTACCCAGCGCGAGCAGCGAGCTGACGGGCACGCGCTTGGGTCCGGCGGCGCGGTCGGACAGCACGAGCAGCTGGCAGCGCGCGCGGGCGGCGCTCTCTGCGGCGGCGCACACGGCGTTCAGGGCCGCCACCAGCCCGCTCGCGCCCGACGACGCTTCGTACGTGCAGTCCAATACTTGCGTCTGAGGAACACATTACAATATTCTTCTTTGCTCTTCTTAACTGCTTATCTCAGTGTTAAGAACTATAAAATACAAAAACTTGACCGTCGTACTAAAACTAATCGGCGAGCAATTTTGAATTAGATGAATACACTAAATCTTTATAGAAATATATGATGGCCGAATTTTAGACATCTTCATTTTTAAGAGGGCGTCAAGCAGCGACCGCCACATGAGGTAGTTCAATTTTAACTTAATAATTAAAATACATAATATATATAATTAAATATCAAATTAATTAGATACAACTCAAGAAGATAACAAAATAAATACCAAGATTATTATAAAAATTTAAACATGGATTTCATTCTTCTAATCTTCAAAAGCATAAATATTTTATTGCCTGTGAAGACATAAGAGCATACGACCCAGCTAATGGTGAATGGTCATGGTTGCTCATGGACGTCAACAATGGCAGGGACATTAGGTGTCTTAATGTTGGAAAATTAAACTAAAACTATTTCTAGGTATGTATCTAATATATAAAATTCTCGTGTCACAGTTTTCGTTGCCATACTCCTCCGAAACGGCTTGACCGATTTTGATGAAATTTTTTGTGCTTATCCGGTATCTATGAGAATCGGCCAACATCTATTTTTCATCCCCCTAAATGTTAGGGGTAGTCCACCCCTAAATTTTTTTATTTATTTTTTAGACAAAATTTTTAATTTNTGCCTAAGTGCAATGACTTGGCCAATGTACAGACTTTTTTAAACAGCTTGGAATATTTAGAGACATACTCATGAAATGACTTATTATGATTATATGATTTTTCATGATAGAGATCGTATAATCTCTGCCTACTTTTGTGAATTCCAACAGTCGCCCATTCATTGAATGATCTTTTATTATGTAAGATCAGAGTTTTAGAAGTAAAGATGACAGTAAATTCAGAATTAATAACATTAAATAAATCCATGTAATGAACATTAAACATTTTAAATGTCACAATGCCGACGGAGATCAGCTTTGAAATTATTGTTTAACTAATACAGGATTCAATTAAATATAATATAACACAGTATATACATAAATATGTATAAGGAAATAGGTCTTATTACGAGTATTACGAATTTTGAAGGCTCACCATAAATCATGTCCCTTAGTTCGTAGATGGCTTGAAGTCGAGTATTGGGGTCCTCGCCGCAATGCTGACGAGCGTAGTCTTGGATCTCTGGCGGGGGCTCGCCGAGGTCCAAGTCCACGCTGTAATCCGGAGTCGGCATGTTGGACTGCAAGTATATTAAAATAAATTATCAGAAGAGATTCGTTTTTATGTTAATTTAAACATTGGGGGGGTCGACGCCGCGCAGCACGCTATGAATGAAAAATGAGTGACCGGTTGGCGGTGCATCGCGTCCCAGGGAAGCTGGCTCTGGCCCAGCGGGGTCTCCTAGGAAACGAGCATCACTGGCTGGGCGTCCTGACTGGCCGCCGTACTGAGACAACCCACGTTCCAGAGCCTTCAAGGACTCCATCGGCCGGGAGTCCTTGGGGTCAGCAGCGGGAGTGATTGCAGTGTTAACCGCAGTAACCCAATACTCAGCCTGGGTTCTTGGGCAAGAGTGCAGAGGAATCATTTAATGTGTTGGGCCCTAAATACGATCCTTGGGCCGGCAGTCCGCTCCCAGCATATGTGGACCATCAAGTTCCACATACGCCACTCCCCTCTTAGGCACGGGACCCCTTGTAGAAGGATCGCCCACCACCCCAAAAAAAAAAAAGAATTGCTATGTGTAAAATATCTAAATCGATGGAACTTAAAATTGTACTTCTATGCCATATTGAAGAGCGAGTGATTGTACACGCGCCGGTATACTAGTCCCATTGCAATATTTAATAGAACTATTTCTTCTAAAATATTTTTTTATGTTGCTTAAATTTTTTTTGACTCATAGTGACGGGTAAATTGGATGGAAGACGATCCAGAGGTCGGAGCCGAAGAAGATGGAGTGACCAAGTATCCGAGTGCCTGGACATGACACTGAGCCAAGCACAAAACAAGCCGACAAAAGTGACTACAAACTACAAAAAAAGGTCACAGGCGGGCGCATCACGATGCTCAGCAATGAGCGATCGACTGAAGGAGGAGGACTGGAGGAGGAGGAGGAGGTTTTTTTTTTTAATTCTTCCTTATTATTTGGATTTGGGTCGGTATCATGCCCCCACATAGTCTTGCATATATGTAATACGCTATTTATGTAACTGAAATTTTCAGTTCCTTTTTCATCAACTTCAAGACATTAGATTAGCTTGTAAATTTTTTAGACCTATTAAGGACCAATAATAATTATTATAATCGAGAGCTCAGAGACGTCCACTACTGAACATACGCGATCTCCAAGTTTCGGTCTCCCAATTACCATATTATACCTAGTCAGGTCATAAATTCTGTCACATGTTTAATGTAAAATAATTGAAACAAGTTTATTCATTATGTAACCATTCATATACCAAAATGAGCTTAACAAAACATAGATTCTTATGACACTAAAGTTTATTCAAAATGACCTCCGTGATTTTGAATACAGGCCTTCAATCTGCGCGGCCAGTCGTCTATCGCAGCACGAACGAGGTCCATGTCAATATCGGCGGCTGCCTTAATCAAGGATGTCTTGAGTGACTCCAAATTGGGATGAGGCTTTGAGCACGCCTTTTCCTCCAAGTGTTGCCATATCTTGTAATCTAACGGATTCAAATCTGGACTGGAGGAGGGCCAGTCTTCGTGCCGGATGAAGTCGATTTCACGCGCCGCCAGCCAGTCTTGTGTGCTCTTCGCTCTATGAGCTGGCGCCGAATCTTGTTGGAATACCCAGTGCCTGTTATTGAACATGGTATGAGAAACAGGTTCCACAAGGTTCGTCAGGACTGTATTTTGATACACAACTGCATTCGTTTTTACACCTTTCTCACAAAAATGTACCTCTGTTAAGCCCCAATAAGAAACTCCCAACCATACCATGAGCGAGGATGGAAAATGACCTCGTTGGACACGCGGAATACGGTTGCTCGCTTCTTCACTACTGTGTGCGTACACCTTATCATTTTGTTTGTTGTAGCTCTCTTCTACGGTAAAAAATTTTTCATCCGAAAAAAGAATTTCCCGATATTTTTTTCCCGCGTACCGCTTCAACAAAGCGCGGCATCTCTTCAGTCTCAGGTCCATTAGACGAGCATTCAAACGATGTCCTGTTTTTATTCGATATGCCCGAAGCCCTAAGTCTTCATTTAACACCCTTTTCACCGTGGTTCTGTTTAACCCCATCTGAAGGGCCAACAGTTTCTGCTTACGTTTGGGATTTCTTTGAATTCGCGCCTTCACAGCTTTTATCACTGCTGGAGTCCTAACAGACCGAGGGCGACCACTTCTTGACCTGTCATCTACACTAGAGTCTTCATTATATTGTTTGATGGTACGATAAACGAATCTTTTGGTTATATTAAAATTTTTCAGTATGTTAAAAATTTGAATTGGCGCGTAACCGCAACGATGCAACGCAATAACTGCAACACGGTCTTCTTTAAGCGTCCAACTCCATATTTAAAAAGGAGTAAAATTCTAAAAGTATACATTTTTATTTTCATGAACAATTCGAAATTCGAATTCAATAAACTTTTTTGTGGCCAGCATTCTAAAAGAAAAGTTTTTACTGTGTGACAATACTTATGACCTGACTAGTTATTTATTTATTACTTTGGCCCAATATACTGACCACGATAACCGATCACCAAATTATTAATGAAATTTTAGTCCGGTTTGCTACTGAAGCGTGTTTTTTTAACTGCAAAACTAGGTACAAATTTTCTTTGTAATAAATGGGCGAAGAAGTCATAGCTCACCAGATGATATATATTATATTGCCAGTCATAAAGTAGCTACGTGTTGTCAAGGGCAACCAATAAGAAGAACTTAGTTTGCGTCAACAATTACGAGGCTTCACACTTTACTTGCTAAAATATAAAACATTAAGTATGTTTATATTTACTAAAACAATACTTCATTATATTACCACACTTGTTACAAAAATATTTAGTTTAACCTTGCTTTTTGAACACAATCAGTGTCTATATAACTATTTTCAGGAGGTGGAGGTTTTTTTTTTAATTGCTTAGATGCGTGGACGAGCTCACAGACCACCGGGTGTTAAATGGGTACTGGAGCCCATAGACATCCACAACGTAAATGCGCCACCCACCTTGAGATATAAGTTCTAAGGTCTCAAGTATAGTTACAACGGCTGCCCCACCCTTCAAACCGAAACGCATTACTGCTTCACGGCAGAAATAGGCAGGTTGATGGTACCCACCCGCGCGGACTCACAAGAGGTCCTACCACCAGTAAAGTTTTGTAATGAACAAATATCTCAAACAACAGAATTCTATGTTCAAGGTTTTTAGTAGTCGAAAATCGTGAGGACCCGTAGAATTTAGTTTTAATAACGTATGGGGTAATAATTGGCATGGCAGTCTAGGCAATTAACTAATGGAAGAAAATCTTAACAATTAAGTATCAAGGGTTTTAATTTTCTTTGCATAAATACTGTGAAATGAATAATTAAATCTTTGCGAAGATATTAAACAGAAGATTTAAAATAGCCCCTAATAGCCTCCTCCCTCGATCATTTCCATATAATTCATGTTATTAACTTAACTTTGAAACAGTGGATAACCCCAAAACGTAAAATCATTTTTCAATTATTGAGTTACTTCTTAGACGGATGAACAAGCTCACGGCACTCCTGGTATTAAGTGGTTACCGATGGTCATAGACATCACTACGTGAATGCCGCCCTCCACCTTGAGAAATAGCTCATCAAGCCACTGTTTCGCGGCATAAATAGGCAATGTAGTAGTCATACTTAACCGAGTGACCTCATGTAGTCACATTACTGTTGTGGGTATGCGTTTTATAGCGCGACTTTTTAATAACAGTCCATTTTTATTTAAATAAAATCTTCACTTAGTTTTATTGCGTATTTTCTAGATTTATATTACCGTATATAACGTATTTGGAAAATCAATCACGCTGATTCGCACGGACAAAACTTTTAAAAAGCAATATGGTTACTGGTGCTGTGACTGTCTTGCCTATTTTGTCTAGCACTCATTGAGGCTTTGATGCCGTGTGTCAAGGCAGACACCAACATTCTCGGTCTGCTGTCCATGGCCTGGTAACTTTTTAATGACCAGTGTGGGCCTGCGCTGATCTACCTATAACGCCAATAAAACATTCGTAGAGGTCAATAAAATCGAAATACACAGTTAAAGTAGTAATAGTTTAAGTACTAGAAATTATGGGTAATAAGATAAAAAATACTTTCACTTACGAGCTGTCTAGAGAAATGGCAATTTAATTTAAGTACAATTTTTTACAGACGCTGTCCGCTTCGCAAAACAATCAAGTAAGTACATTAAAGCAGAAACTTTCAAAGTCAAGATACCTACCTACCATAAATAAGTATTTGAAAGAAATTATGCATATATACTGAGACTGATGCCTAATGATTATTATTAATTTCTATTATTTGCGATTAGTAATTTAAGCCAAAAAATAGCTATCTAATGAAAATCTGTTGCCTACAGTTTGATTAGTTTGTTAAATATAGCTCGATTCGGGGGACAGTTGAGAGAGTAATGTTTCTGGTTATTTGTAAAGTGATTTTTTCGAAGAGAACCTACATATCTCTAGAAGTAAATAGGTGCTTAGGTACTGTGGATACATTTCTTTTTATGTTTAATCTGCTAAAACTATAATCTAATAACAAATAATACTACGTTTAACTGAATTTACTGACTTTGTGGTGCAATTATTAGTGCTGCTGGGCCGGGGGTCATGGGTTCGATTTCTACATCAGGCAAGCATTATATAAATTTCTTAATATAAATTTCATTGCACCTACTACTATCCACTCTGCACTACCTTTGGTTGACTGGTAGAGAATGCCTAAGGCATTAAGTCCGTCAATGTAAATTTTACATGAAGTGTAATAAATAAATTAAATAAATTTGTGTGATAAGCAGCTTTGTTTGCTCTTGGGTTAGGTTTTTGTTACCTACATATGTATTTATTATTTAAACGTATATAAGTATGTATATCAGTCCATAGTACAGGTAATCCTAGTTTGGGGCCAAAAAATCATATGTGACTTGTTCTTGGGTTTTTTTACAATTATGCAAAATTTATTACAAAGATACAAAATCTTTTTCGTATACATTGTATCAGTTTGAACTCATACTATCGATTTATTTATATTGATCGTGGGATGTCAAACTCCCACCATTTGGTCAAAATCGATATAATGCC